GGGGAGAGGGGAACAGAGCCACCTGGGGAGACACTTGGCGACCCTTTTGAAATGTAATGGCGACCCATAGGTTGGGAAACCATGTCAAACTGGACAGGGCCCGTCCAAAGTGAGGCTTGGAGCATTGGAATCAGGCAGGAGCGTCCTGGCAATCAAAACAGGCTTGGGAAATAGGTTGAGAATGGCCCTCCCCATGATGTCACGAGAGGGGAACAGAGCCACCTGGGGAGACACTTGGCGACCCTTTTGAAATGTAATGGCGACCCATAGGTTGGGAAACCATGTCAAACTGGACAGGGCCCGTCCAAAGTGAGGCTTGGAGCATTGGAATCAGGCAGGAGCGTCCTGGCAATCAAAACAGGCTTGGGAAATAGGTTGAGAATGGCCCTCCCCATGATGTCACCCCTGCGTGCCCCTCAAGCCCCGCCCCCTTTCCGTGTCATGTCCGGCATGTGGCGCAGGCGGCGGGTCGGGCTCTGCGTGCCGCGTACAGCGCAGACGCGGAGCCGTTCGGAGTGAGGGGCAACGGCGTGCGGACACGATGGCCCACCGGATGACGGCCCACAGGGAAATTCCCGGTATCCCGCCAGGCCGGTCTGCCCCTGGAATCAGGCCTCAGGCACAATTGCTGTGACAATCTGCCTCCGTACCTACCACTGCTCTCCACTAGGCAAGAAACTGGCAGCAGACTTGCCCCAGGGCAATCTGGTTTCTGCTTGGAGAGTTATGCTTAAGCAAGTCTCTGTCCACCCTTATTTAGTGACTCATGTCCCATGAGCCAGCGCAAGTCAACGCAGGACACGCCGGGTCTCATGTTTCAGCAGCAGGCAGGCAGAGTATCAGAAACCATGAGACCAATGTACCGGGGAGCACGTGGGAGGAGTGGTGAGCCTTGTCATCGATGTTATACAGTCAGCCTTTAAATACAGGAAATCCAGCTGGTCACTCTAGTTCAACGGGTCAGGGAAACTATGCTGCAGTCATAAAGGAAAATTGCTTTTGATCTGGAGTGCAGAGAGTAAACAGTGCTTTTGCTACTGTGGTGCGGAGATTCAAGCTGAGACACAGACAAGCTCCCTATGCAAGTCCCTGAGCTAGGGTTACTTGCCGGCCTCTGTTGCTGAAAACGGTCACAGGTTTTATTTCAGAGCGTCTCAAAACATTTTCCTCGTGGGGCTCACACTTTAAAGGAGATTTTCTAGGGGATGCCTCCCCTCACATTCATTATCACACAGAATCCCTGGGCAACTATGGCTCTGCCTTACGCACCAAAGTAACACCAGGGGAAAGGTGTTTGAGCTGTCCTGCAAGGAAGGCAGGCAGCACAGTCGACCTAAAAGGCTCGCCATGAACCATCAGCATGTTCCCAGCAATGCATTATGTGTGATCTGGAATTCAGCTCATTGCATGAAATCTTAAATTGCACGTGGACATGCAGGTCAGTGGAAACTGGCTGTCATTCTCCCAATTAATACACACCCCTTTGGGTGTGTAGTTGTTTAGCAGCTTAAGGCATGTGTGACATACACAGCAATAGAAACCTCCACATTCAGAGTTAGTAAACCGTGAGAAAGAGCAATTTTACGTTAGTTCAGTGGTTCTCAACCAGGGAGATGTGTACCGCTGTGACGACCCAGAGGCCTTGCAGGGCTTACAGCTACTTATCTAAAGATTTGCCTGGTTTGAAAGCAACAGGCTACATAAAAAGCACTAGCCAAAGTCAGTGCAAACTAAAGTTTCATCCAACGACTTCTTTATACGGCTCTGAATGCCATATGCTGAAACGGAAGTGCAGTATTATATTCCAACTGATTTTATAATTATATTAGATAGTAAAAATGCGAATGGAAGCGATTTTTCAGTGCGAGTGCGCTGCCAAACTTTTGCATTCTGATGTCTGATTTTGTAAGTGAGGTGAAACTTGGGGTACGCAACAAGTGCGCTGCCAAACTTTTGTATTCTGATGTCTGATTTTGTAAGGGAGGTGAAACTTGGGGTACGCAAGACAAACCAGACTCCTGAAATGGGGATAGCAGCGTGGAAAGGCTGAGAGCCGCTGTGTCAGGACATGACATTGAGTAGATAGCTCTCAGCTATGTCCTCACCCCGGCTACCTCCTGCCCCAGCAAGCCCTCCACACCAGAACTTGCTGGGGGGGTCCAAGGAGGTAGCCTTATCTTTCAGCTCCTACCAGGGAAATTCCTCCATGGGGGAAGCAAGGCCTTTTAGGGCTCTTTACACTGCACCTGCCCTTTTATGCAGCACCAAGGGCTCAAAGCACGAGAGGAGTTCATTCACTCTCTAATTCTATTAAACGAGACGGAGACGGTAGTGCTCAGGACTCGATGAGCCGCGAGCTACTGAACACGGTGCTCACTGTACATCAGGCATAGCAACTGATCAGATAAAACCCAATTTCCTCATGATCATTTATACTATTAGCTTAAATTAAGGTTTATTTTGGTTTGACGTCTGTTTCCTTGCCTGGATCCTAACAGCTGTAATGCCTTTTTTCCAGGGACATCATATAAATGTATGTAAGTCAGGGCTGCACTAGCAAGAACAGACTGTATGGGAAGATTTAAATGTGACTACGAAACATGCTTTTAAAATAAATGGTTAAAAATATCTGACAGATGAGCTCTGGAATGGAAGCAGCTTCCAAAGGAGGCAGAGACAATGGTATCACAGGAAGGAGATGCTGGAGCCCTGCCTTACTGTGTACCTAGTGGAGATGCGGAATTATTTTTTGGCCTTCTACCTCCGATTGGGGAACTAGAACCCACCACCCTGCACTCCCCAGGCAAATGCCCTATCTGCAAGGTCCACAGCACGACCCATCCCACCTTCAGGGTGCCCCTTATCCTGCCTGCCAGAGCCTGCTCCCAGGGCTACTAGTACTAGTAGCTCACTCATACCAGTTCATGGATTTTAGCCTCCCAGCAGCCCTATGGGGGTAGGGAAGCATTACCCCAGGGGAACTGAGGCACAGGGTCAGCTGACTCTGCAAGGTCACATGGGCAGTCAGTGGCCAAGACAGGAACTGAGCCCAGATGTCCTGACGCCCACGCCAGTGCCCTACCTGCTAGACCGTCCTTCCGCACCTAGAGGGGCTCTCGCTACTTGAGAGAGAGTTGAGTCCTGCATGGAAAAATAAGCTAGGGACCAAACTAGAGACCTTTCCACCCTGCGTGGAGGATTTATCCAGTGTAGGACTCCAAGATCAGCTGTTCCAGCCAGCGCCTGCACCTCCTATTCAGCAGCGCGCGGTCCTACTTGCCACGGAGCTTCTCTGTGATATGAAACAGGCTCCACAAGTATGTTACCTGCGTGTCTGAGCTGGCTACCTAAACATTCCCCTCCAGTGTCATCTGGATCCAGCATTGCTCTTCACCTGCTCTCCCAAAGCGCGGGACAGCGCTGCTCTGCGCGGTACAACAGCTGTCCCCTCCCAGCCCAGACGTGTGCTGTGAAGGCTAGGACTATAACAGAGTTTAAAGAGAAGCTAGATAATTTCACGGAGGTTAGGTCCATAAAAGGCTATTAGCCAGGGGATAGAAGTGGTGTCCCTGGCCTCTGTTTGTCAGAGGCTGGAGAGGGATGGCAGGAGACAAATCGCTTGATCATTGTCTTCCGTCCACCCTCCCTGGGGCACCTGGAGCTGGCCACTGTCAGCAGACAGGCTCCTGGGCTAGATAGACCTTTGGTCTGACCCAGTTTGGCCGTTCTTATGACAGGCTTGGATAAGCACTCAAATTTCTGGGCCTGCCCCTTGTGCCTCACTGGTCATTCCCCACGCTGCCCCCTTCCTCCTTTACCTCTGGCAATGGGAACATACTTCTCGATGATGCTGATGTACAGCTGCAGCGTGAGCTGTGGGGTGGAGCCCAGGAAGGCCTGGATCACGGCCATGCGCTTGAAGGCATCGCGGTGCGTGACCAGCCTGCGGATGGAGTGGCCCACCTCCTGCTCCAGCTCCACCTCACAGCCCTTCCGGAGCTTCTTCTTGCGTGTGATGGTAACGTAGGGCTCCTCCTGTCGCCCCGAGCAACAGTAAACCACCAGGGCCTCGATGCACCTGCACAGACAAAGCAGCCCATCAGCTCAGCCAGCCTGACCCCTCCGGGGACCCTCATGCGCCTCTGCCTCCCCCAGCAGGACGTCACTGATTCCACTCAAGCACTTTAGGAAGGAGGCAACTAGCGAGGGAGAGCACAAGGCGGCAAACAGCACCGGTCTTCACCACCCGGGCGCAGGGCACACTATTTGCATGATGGGAAATATGCCCCCAAAACACACAGGCTGCGTCTAGACTGGCAAGTTTTTCCGCAAAAGCAAGTGCTTTTGCGCAAAAACTTGCCAGCTGTCTACACTGGCCGCTTGATTTTGCGCAAAAGCACTGACGTTCTACTGTCTGCAATCAGTGCTTCTTGTGCAAATGCTTTGACGTTCCCGTTCAGGCAAAAGCCCTTTTCCGGAAACGTTTTTGCGCAAGAGGGCCAGTGTAGACAGCTAAAAACTGTTCTGCGCAAAAAAGCCCTGATGGCGAAAATGGCGATCGGGGCTTTCTTGCGCAAAACTGTGTCTAGATTGGCACGGATGCTTTTCCACAAAAAGTGCTTTTGCGGAAAAGCGTCCGTGCCAATCTAAACGCTCTTTTCCACAAATGCTTTCAACAGAAAAACTTTTCCGTTAAAAGCATTTGCAGAAAATCATGCCAGTCTAGACGTAGCCACAGTGCTGTACTGCAATGCCGAAAAGGAACAGGGTAAATCTGTGTGTATTGGGGATGTAAATTGTTACCTGGTAAGCCTGAGGGCAACTAAAATGATGAGGGGTTTGGAACGGGTCCCATATGGAGGAGAGATTCAAGAGACTAGGATTTTTCAGCTTGGAAAAGAGGAGACTAAGGGGGGATATGACATAGGTCTATAAAATCATGCATGGTGTGGAGAAAGTGAATAAGGAAAAGTTATTTACTTGTTCCCATAATAGAAGAACTAGGGGCCACCAAATGAAATTAATGGGCAGCAGGTTTAAAACAAAAGGAAGTTCTTTTTCACACAGCCAATCTGTGGAACTCCTTGCCTGAGGAGGTTGCGAAGGCCAGGACTATAACAGGGTTTAAAAGAGAACTAGATACATTCATGGAGGTGAAATCCATTAATGGCTATTACCCAGGATGGGTAAGGAATGGTGTCCCTAGCCTGTTTGTCAGAGGGTGGGGTGGATGGCAGGAGAGAGATCGCTTGATCATTCCCTGTTTGATTCACTGCCTCTGGGACACCTGACATTGGCTACTGTGGGCAGACAGGATACCGGGCTGGATGGACCTTTGGTCTGACCCCGTCTGGCTGCTCACAGCTCTGCACCCTGTGTGACCTACTTCAGCCCAGGGAAAGGATTCCCTGGAGCATTTACCTCAGCCAAGGCCTCATTGGCCCCACGGAATAAGTGAAGGTGGGGGAGGAGGGGAGGCCCGAGGAATACCACTCGTATCATAAGAAGAAGGAATGTGGGGTTCACTTTGCCAGCGCTGGACACGCTTCCTACGCAGTCCATCTCTGAAGTCGTGTGGCACTTGGTTTTCTGTGGAACCCCCAACCCTCACGAGATTATTCTCAGCCCTTGGCAGGATCGGTGCAGGACTCTGAACTCCAGCCTTCCGCTTGCCCAGACGCCAAATTCATCAAAATCTTTTATTGTTTTTGGAGGGGGGGATGGGGGGGTGGGAAGAAGTAGGAGAGAAAGAGAAATGGCTCCTGAAGAGAGCTAGCACTTCAGGTCGGGAACGAACCTGCTCTGGGACCGACAGAGAAAACACTTGATCGGGCCAAGCGATGGTACAGGAGAAACTGCCATTTGTGAGCCCAAGATGGAATTCGCTCTCTGCACCGCTTTGGGCAGGGGCTTTGAGCCTTGCCTGGTTACATGCTATGTCAGGAACTCAGCTCTGCGGCCACATTCATCGGAAAGGACCAGTTTCCAGTGAGCCAGAGCCAATTTATGACTCAATGAAACTGGGTGAGACTCAGCAGTTTGGCTGCCAGGGCTTCAACTGAAAGGGCCTGCAGGAAGCAGGCAGCTCTCTGGAGTGTTCCGAGGGGCCTCTCGCTCCAGCCACCGGCTTGCAGATATCATGACCGAAGGCATTACAGGCACTACTCCCGCAGCGGCCTTTTGCTGCTGAAATCAACAGGGGACATTTGCAGCAACGTCCCACTGTAGGGAGGTGCTGCTGTGCGCTTTCACGCGGCTACATACTGCACAGCAAGAGAAGTTAGGCACGGGGTGAGTTCTACTCGCTGGTACAAGTGATGCTGCTGTTAAAATTGGCAATGGAAGTTTAGTCATGACATAACTCGGTCTAATCCTGACCAAAGGGCCTGATGGAAGTCCCCAGAAGCCTGGATCATCAATCAACATCATCCTATTAGAGCTGGAGCATCAGAGTGGAGGAGTACAGGAGCGTCCCTCCACCTGTGTGTCCGGTCAGAGGATGTAGCCTTAACAGTGGCGAATCTTCGGGGGGGAGGGGCTCTGCATGAAGTGGAGGGCTCTGAGTTAGCTGTGAGCTAGCTACACCATATCGTCTTGCTTATCTCCTTCCCAAGAATTCGCCATGGAGCCACCTGACTGCATCCCAGGGCAAAGTGTGAGCCAGCATGACTGACGCCTACCCAGGGCAGGGCCAAAGGACACACCTAGCCTGTTCCCAGCCAGCTGGAAACAGAAACTGGCTTTAAAAGCTTGATTATTTCTTTCGGGAGATCTGATACAGCCAGCCTGGCTTCCCCATCATCTAGGCTATGTAACAACAGGTTGTCTTGCTGGCACAGGCCGAGCTCACACAGGGAGGGGAACATTCCTGTCTGGAAGGAGGCATCCCTGTCATTCTCCAGGAATGAGACCTAGGCTCCCTCCTCATTTATTGCACTCAGCTCCTCCTCTCCCGCTTGCACCGATGACTGCGAGAATGAGACCTAGGCTCCCTCCTCCTTGTTTATTGCACTCAGCTCCTCCTCTCCCGCTTGCACCGATGACTGCGTGGCTCCTGGCTCCCGGGATTTTTCTGTTCCAACACAGACTCATTTGCACCAAGGCCCTTCTCTTCCTTGTCCCATGTCTCCCTCTCTCACGCTTCCCCCAGCACCCAGGGGGCTGCTGCCTCCCCTCAGTCAGAGGCAGGTCTACCCTCCATGCCTTATTCTTAGGGCCCTGCAAACCCGCGGATAGCCACTTGACATCCATGGCTCAATGTTGCAGATATGGAGACGGATACAAATCTTGCATCAAATTTGCAGATCTCTGCTTTATAGCCACGGGGATCCGCACCCGTGGATGTCAATCCAGAAATCCGCGGCTCATTTGTGTGGACACAGATGAGGATGCGGTTACACATTTTGGATCCACGCAGAACACTATAGCTCAGCTCAGAAACGGACCCCCATGAGAATTCACCTTGTGCCATACAGCTGTGACTACAGGGACTTCATAAGCCAATGGCCTGTCTCAGTGAGGCTCACTAGTCAGAAGACAGGAAGTGTAAAAGGCAATCATGAAAAGGGAGCCATTGTAAGAGAGCCTGGGTGCTGAAAACAGTTCACCCCAGACCAGGGAGACAGTAAGCATTTTGTCAGGGGGTGGGGCAGGAAGCTGCATGGGTATGTTCCAGCGGCCACTGTCTCTGGGAGAGATGGCTGGGTAGGAAGCGCCTGTGGTTTGTCCACTGAGGTTAGGAAGAGGAGAAATCTCTAGGGCTTCATTCCTCTGAGCCTGTCTTTGGGTAGAAGAGGTAGGGAAGAGAGACAGAGGAAACCCCTCCCCTCCCGCCTATTTTGGGATATTGAAGTGTCCCAAACCCAGAGGTTTTGCAAAGTTACAGATTCTATTTTGTGTAAGGCAGCTGAATCCAAGGCTAAAGCCAGTTTGCTCGCAAGTTCTGTCCTAACTACTCTTGCCTTGCTGCGGGTGGGAGGAAAAGGACCAGGGAACCGAGTGCAGTAGCTGTGAGCTCCTGGCACTTGTACCACAGGGAAGTACCTGGGAGCTACCCCACAGCTCCTACACCTCTCCCCACAGGGACTGGGGTAGGGAAGAACTTACCCACAGCCAGAGTCACTCCCAAGAAAGCCCCTGTAATGCCAGTAATTTTAGCCCTCCTGCTGCTTTCTACTGGCAAAACACAGGCCAGACAGTAACTCTTAGCAAGGCAGAGCTGTAACAGCGGAGAGCTGCGTTACCCCCTAGGAGAACACTGTACAAAAAGCTTCCCTGGGCAACACAGTGCTCCAGGACAGGACTCCGCTTGTGGCCGGGGTTCCTGGGGGCTGGGGAAAGGGTAGATTACAGAGCGTGGTGCAGTGCTCATGCCGCTCACCTGATGACGGGCCCCAACTGGAGAAGATGCAGCAGTAGCACCAGTGGCTTGTCACTGGTCAAATCCCTGTGGACAAAAATGAGGGTCAACTGGATCAAGATGGATGGATACAGCATGAAGAGGATGGTGAGCGTGAGCCAGAAGTGGTCGTCCGAGTGGCTGTAGGAGGCACACAGGATCCCGGCCGCCACGCACTCCCCACAGAAGAGCAGCGTGGAGAAGATGATACTGAACGGTGGCTTTGCCCTGGGTGGCACAGGGGGCTCCTTTGCTTTTTCTTCCAGGGGGGGCTGGTCTGAACATTCCCCGATGGGACTCTCGCACATGCTGTCCATGCTTGGAACCCAGGGCTGGGAGCTAGTCTGGAGGCCTGGGTGTGTTTAAAGCAGCGATGCGTTAACCCTGCTCAGCCCAGGAGCCATGTCTCTCTCTGGGATGCGCCTGGGAAAAGGAGACCACGGGGAGAAATCCGACTTCCTTCTGTTTGCTTCCCACCTGCAGCGCGCAGTGGCATGAGTCTCCAAAGGCGCCCGGGCTGGAACACTCCCCCGCAGCCAGGCGGCGCCTGCCAGCCACTGGGCAGCGGCGATCCGAGCCCACGAGGATGGGCTGGGGAGAGCGGGCTTGGCCGGCGTTTGAACAGAAAGTCTCCGGGCGCTGCGC